TGTTCTTCTCATACAGAGCTACCAGCGCTATGTGAATGGCTGTTCTGATTGAGGCTGGTGCGGGGATACTTTATTTGAGGAAAAAATGTTTCTTTCAATAACAGGGTTAAATGATTCGGTTTGTAGTTGCAACGGAGTTGCACGAGGTGGCGCACGTCTGCCTTCCTAGTTCTTCCGGAACCGCGACGTTCCTGCATAGAACTGTGCGGAAATGCAGGACATATCGAGGACGCCTTAGTAAATAATAAAGCACCCCTGCACGTGAGAGAAAATACATTCCTGAAGGAGGCATCCTTAACGATTTTAACTCAGCAATTTTACACTTCCCGCTAGACCTAGCTGCGGTTGGGCATTTCGTAGTTCTTTTTGATTTGTGGCTGAAAAGCTGATCAACACATTTGTATTCTCTTGAATTGACTACTGTAATGCTCTACTCGCTGGGGTATCTAAATCTACTCTGAACAAACTGCAGTATGTCCAAAATTCGGGAGCCAGAATCCTGACCAGGTCTAGTGCAAGTGTTCATATTACTCCAGTCCTGGAGTCCTTGCACTGGCTTCCGGTCAAATTCCGTGTAGACTTTAAAATCCACATGCTCACCTATAAGGCTCTGCATGGCTTGGCACCTCAGTACCTGTGTGAACTATTATCGCCCTACTCCTCACCTCACAACCTTCGCTCTTCTAATTCTGCTCTCCTTATTGTCCCCCAAGCCCGTCTACATTGTATGGGTGACAGAGCCTTCTCCTGTTCTGCCCCCAAGCTCTGGAACTCTCTCCCCAAGGATATCAGAGAGTCACCTTCTCTAAACTCCTTCAAATCTGGACTCAAAACCCTCTTTAGAAGAGCCTTTACTTAACTGTTCCATTCTTCACCCCTCTGCTTTTCTTAGTACCACCATCCACGGTCTCCTCTATATATTGTAATTGTGTTTTACTTGTGTATTTTTTTTATTTATTGTTGTTGTCATTCTGTAAAGTGCTTTGAGAAACCACCTTTAAAGGCACTGTATAAAACAAAGTTTTTATTACTATTATTTTGATTTGGGGGAACGTGTGCTTATGACGCGATGAAGTCCGTGGGGGGGAGAGAGAGAGACAGAGACAGCAATGCCCGTTTGTTCTTCTTTCACAACTTCAGAGGGGAAGTGTGTGGAAACGCTAACATTCTCGGAAATGTCTCTATGGCTCATCATTTCACTTTAGGAGATTCTCCTTCATGGAACTGGCAGCCGGCGTTCAGGGCAGAGACACTCATCACTGTGTCAAGGTGAAGGAAAGGGCATCATAAGAACATTACTTATCATTACCAAAGCGAGAACCCAATCCATCCCAAAGCCAAATCCTTTCCACCACCCAGACTGCACCTGGGGCTGGATACTGAAAGGGCCAGGCAATTCAGTCATGTGCAACAATCCCCTGCACGTTCACTACAACAA